GTAGTATTTTCGCATATCACTACAGTTTTTAGTAACGAACATTCATTGTTTTATACGAAATCGATAACGCTACATTTTTCACTAAAGAAAATATCGGATTTTCTTGGAAACATACATCAATTCATGGTTTATTACAGAACTGGTAACACTAAATTCTCGCTAAGGAAAACATCGGATATTCTTGAAACTATACAAATATTTTCCGAACGCATCAACAATTTTCACTACAAAACTACCGCTTATGAACTCACCAGCCTTATGCTGATACTCTTTTAAACTGTTTGTATTCTCAGGAAATCAGTAGACAGGTACCCGCTGGGTTTTTGAAGAGTTGAAGAAATAAGAGTCTAATGTTTATATTCATACAAGTTATATGATGTAACTCAAACAAGTTTCAGAACTGATGTAAACATTTTTATTTTAGTATGCACTGTACTGGTTGTGTTGCTATGATTGCTATTATTCATTGGTTGTGATGTTACACATGACGTCCTCCGCCCCGGAACGTTTCCGCCATCGGTTTCGGGGTGTGACATTATTACTGGATCATATTGGTGTTGAATAATCACCTTCACCATCTTAAATTATTAGACAATTCAAGTGTGATATGTATATAATTATATTAGCTGGTCATGACTGTAAATATATCTCTTATATATACTCTTATTGTAATTGTGGTTATACAATAATAATACAACATTACTGATTACCAAAGTCAACTAGGTATCAGAGTCTTACGGGTATCCTAAAAAAACACCGATATATAAAAAAATAAAAAAATAGTCGATCAAAGGCAAACAGCGCCGATCAAGCCTACAGTGCTTCCCTCTCTTGCTTCTGTCGATCTGCACAGTGCCGTCACCTACAGTAACATCCAATTTCTTTTTCTCTTTTTCTTCTTTCTGTTTCTAATAAAGGGCACTTACAGCCTTTACCCCAGAAGAGAAAACTCTACATTGTCACCATAGTTTTGTTTCAGTACTCTATCTCCTACCAATTATGGTTACTGGAAGGCAATGGTCACTGGTACAGAAAGCATTTGTGGATGCGGTTAAAATGATTTATAGGTGTGGTTATCGAACCGCACCAACAAATAGCGCATTAAAAAATACCCTTATTTAATGGTGCAGTTAGGGAACCGCCCCAAAAAATAGCAATAACCGCCCCAAAAAATAATCTGGCAAATATAGAAACCGCACCAAAAAAACCTTAAAACCGCCCCAAATAAAGATACTGCACCAAAAAAAAAACCATCGCAGCAATGGTGCTTGTTGCTAGTGAATATGCTGTAATCACATAAGCCTTCCATTGATTGCAACCATAACAACAACCATCAATCTTCCGCCACCATCTCTACATAGCATAAATCAAAGAATAGATTTGGAAGAACATATATACATATCTGTGTCCTAAAACTTAAATCCTAAAATGGAAAACAAAGAAAAGTTTTGCACATGGTGTGATAAAGACACACTTTCTCATTATATCAGATTGTAGAGTTTAGAAAACATGACCCAAACTCATTTGTGCTTGCTACTATTGAAGCATAGCCGTTTAGTTGACTTAATTTTTCTGCCACTGCTATCGAGATTACTTGCAACATTGAAGCTACTTAAAGCCATCAGCCCAAGAATATATCTGTCGTTTCTTCTTTTTCGCTCCCCAGCTTCAATAAAACATGGATTCGTAAGGAAGGTGACTGTAAACAACAAACACATATGGGATTAACGTTAATATAAATTGATATACCTTTAGTCTGTGATACACAATATCATGATAAACAGTTCCAACCTAACCGATGGCTGCTGACCTATGGTGGTGGGCCGGTTGTGACGAAGTCTTCCACTGTAATATCAAGAGAGAGAGAGAGAGTGTGGAGGAGGAGGCAGAGGCGGAGCGAGGAGGGTTTGCTGAGAATCATCTTCCAGAATAAGTGGGGGCAGCAGCAGTGACGCTTTTCGACGAGGCAGAGTTATGATCAAGCGATGGCGGCGAGGACTACCGGTGAATGTTGAGTCGGCGATGGTTATGGCAAAGAGAGAAGGAGAAGAATAAGAAGGGGGCGACGTGAGAGATAGGGAAAGCAGCAGAGGGAAATAAAGGAGGGAGTTCTAAAACCTAGAAAATTTAGGAAGCGGCATATTTGATTTTTTCAGTAAAAAAACTATGGGTTTTAATGACTTTTAATGCGATTTTGGGGAAACCGCATCATTAAATCCGTTTTTAATGACATTTAATGCGTTTAGGCGAAAACCGCATTAATAAATACTTTAAATGATGCGGTTGCTTGGTTTATTAATGCGAAAATGTTTTAATGATGCGGTTTTAAGCTATCACCGCATCAAAAAAAAAAATCTCATCGCACTATTAAATATGTTATGTACTAGTGGGTCCAACCATTCCTTCTCACCAACTTGTTCAGTTATATTGATGGCACAATACCCTGTCCACCGATTACTATCCTATCTTCATCATCAGGCAAAGACAAAGATGGCACAGTACAACCCCCACAACTAAACCCAGATTACAACACATGGGTTTCCAATGATGCTCACGTACGTATGCTCCTCGTTTCTACCATCTCTGAGTCGTCATTCCAACATGTTCAAGGCAACACCTCTCGTGATCTTTGGCTATCTCTTGAACAAGCATCTGCACCTCACACTTCCCCTAGGGAATACACCCTGAAAAATTAAGCTTATCAAGCTAGAGATGAAGGCTGATGAAACCTCCTTTGCATACCTCACTCGGGCTCAAGAATATTATGGTGCACGCACCAATATAGGCGAACCAGTGAAAGAAAAGGATTTAGTGATGCTAGTTATCTTGGGTCTATGAGAAGAATACAATATGGGTTGAAATCAACCCTTCTTGGTCGTCAATTCCAGACTGCCTTTGCAGAACTTCATGGCTTGTTATCAGACCATGATTACATGATCAAGAAATCAGCAACAGCCATCTCTCTGGCTCAAGCTTTCACGGCTGTCACAAACAGTCATACCTCAACCGTTCGTGGTGCTACCTCGTCTACTCCTCAACCGGATCAACTACACACTATTCAGCAATTTTTGTCACAACTTGGCCTTCAAGTTCAACCCATTCATGCACAACCTACTCAAGCCTTTTACACCCACATAGCCGAAAATAACCATGGTCGTGGATGTGACTCTAGAGGTGGAAGAGGGAACTATAACAATAGAAATAAAGGAGGAGGTAACCGTAATCAATTTAATTGGGCTTCTAATCAAAACACTATTTTTGGTACATGCAACAAGTGTGGGGTTGGTCATATCCCGTCATAATCCCTAACCGTGATCCAACTACTTTGTGAACAAGATAGCCACCTTCTCCTAAGTTTACAAACTACCGCTCACAAAATTGGCTTCCGGACATGGGCTCTAGCCATCATGTTAGGGGCGTGTATGGGACGGTTTGGTTCGGTTATTGGTCAAAACCGAACCATAACCATTACGATTGGTTAATGTATTTTAATAACCATTACATAGTGGTTAATATTGGTTTTGGATAATGGTTTTAGTCGGTTAATGGTTATGGTTAATGGTTAATGTTAACCATAATGGTCCAAGACGACATAAAAATAAAAATATTTTTCTATAAAATTGAAAAACATAAAGTCCTTATTATAAAAAGTGAATGATTGTTTATACATAATTGTATTGGTGGAAGATTGTTTATCATATCTAATCCCAAATAATTGCCCTCTAAATTTTCAATTCTTAATATAATTAAATACAATATACTCCCTAGGTCACATATTAATTGTCCGCATTTGACTTTTGAAGTATTTATTCTTTAACTTTGACCTTAAATATTTTTATTTGTGTTATACATTACTTGATAAAACTTATAACAGTGAAAAACCATTTAAAATACAATCCATTCATATATTTTGCATCAAATATTATATATAATAAAAAACAAAAATATTTAAGCTCAAAGTTAAAGAATAAAGACTTCAAAAGTCAAAAATTGACAATAAATATGGGATCGGAAGAGATTATTTAATATTCTACTATATTAAAAATATTTATTAATATTATTGGTTCGGTTCGGTTAATAGTGGTTCGGTTTTAGATGAAAACCATAACCGAACCATATGTATTTGGTTAATCAAAATTGGAAATCACTCCATATCTTTTAGTAATGGTTCGGTTAAAATGATTCGGTTATATTGGTTAATTTTGTTATGGTTCGGTTTTTCGGTAAATATACTCACCCTTACATCATGTTGCACCAGACCTATCAACTTTTGATAATTCTGAGGCCTATTATGGTGATGGTAATCTTCACGTTGGCAATGGTAAGAGCTTACCCATTCTACATATTGGTTCCTCACAATATTACTCGCCAAACAAAACCTATACCTTTAAAGACATACTTCATGTTCCCGAAATAAAAACAAAACCTTCTTTCTGTCCAAAAATTTTGTCTTGATAATCAGGGCACCGCTGATTCAGCTTACAGTGAGCCAAAGTCAACTTAAATATATCACTATCTTCACCAACTCTATCATTAACCAACCCTTCCTGCCATTTCCCGTTGTCTTTCGTCTTGTCACCATCATTAGCAGTAATAAGAGCATTTAAAGCTTATTGAAAACTATCTTCACGAAATTTTCCCTTTTCATTCACAACTAAGTATAACCCATCACCACCGGTGGTGAAAAGATAATGTTGAAAGGCTGTTGACCTATAATCCATATAAACAATATGACATGGTTCTTGATGATCCTTTAGATCATTCAACAATCAATGGTGCCTAATCCCCTTGAATATGGACTATGGTCTATGCAGCGACAAAAAATAGGACAAGGTTTATTAGAGTGAGTTTGTGATCCATATTTCATTGGAGACCGATGGATGTGGGTTTATTACATACAACGCATATTTACATATCATTACAAAAAGTAGCTTGTTATGCATATGTAAATAGCTTTCAGTAGCGTTTTACTAGTCGAGCATCAAAACAGGGTGACAAAGATTAATCAAGAATACAGAGGGTAGAAAGCAACAGTTGTCGCAATACTTGTAATCAACCCAAAAAAACATTTAAACAATCAATCCTTAAATTTAAATAAGTAATCTAAATTTAGCGCTGAATAATGATATCCACTGCTGGCGATGCACGTGGAAATGTTAATCGTAGCAAATCTCGAAGCATCTTAACTTCTTCATCAACAGAAACAGATGAATTGAGTTCTACTGGTGCTTTCTTAAGCAGAGGTGACTTAGCCATGATGAGTTTCACAAACTCCATCTCTTGAGCATAGTTATGGAAACTTGTTATCTCAAGTTCTTCAAGATGATCCAACTTCATTCCCAAATAATAGTCTTGAAGATCAAGCAAGTCCTTGCAAGTTTCTCTTTCACCCAGCAGAAAATACTTCAAACACGACTGATCAGAAAATATGTACAAAATGTCAACAGAATTGAATATCTATTGTTACTATTTATGTGATTGCGTGTAGTTTATATCTACCTCCATTTCTATCTTCTTCAAATTTGGTGAGCTGCTGATCACACTGAGAGCATACGAAAGCTCATCTTGTCTCGGAAAACACACATCAAGAAAAAGTATCCTCAAGTGGACTAGTAAAGTAGGGAGTTTCTGCATACTGCCTTTACCAAACTGCTTTAACCGAATACCAAAACTAGAATTAAAACACAGTATTCTTGCATGAGATAAAACCATCAAATTTAGTATTACCTTGATACAAGACTTGGAGATTTTCAGAACCTGAACTGAAGGTAGACACGTGGATAGCTCAAGAATTGTATACTTGTCTCGTGGAAAAGGGACTTTTAGACATCCAGCCTGCATCAATATATTTTGTAAGAAGGTTTGAACCGAAGGCACTGTTAATATCGAACTTACCGGTATAAATTCCTCAAGTATTGGGCAATTGGTAAGTAATTGTTGAAGCGTCTTCGCAGTGATGATAACATCGCATAACTTGAGACTCTTTAAGGTAATAAATCCATTAAATGTTAATGGAAGCTCAATGAAACAATGTGTGAAATGTAGGTGTTCTAGTCCGAAAAAAGTCGATTGTTGCAGTTCGAAATCAGGAAATCGATTGTGGAAGCAAATTGACGAAGAAGATGGAGTCGACGGTGAAGAACAGATTAGGGGAAGCAGCGCTAATGGAGAAAAAAAAGCCCAAGTCGATGGAGAAGAAGCACGATGGCGGTAATGGTCGTTGGAGAAATAAGCAATGTCAGTATATTGATTACATTGATTACAGGTTAAAAGAGGGACATTCTGTCCTTTTACTTTCTAAAAGTTTCCAAAGTCTAAAAAGGAGTTTGAAAAAGTGACTGCTTTTATTAGACCAACCGGAGTACATGCAACGAACCACGTCCACAAACACCACCCGGGTGTCTGTTGTGGCCCGTGCTCGTGGTGGATTGTGGTACCGATGACGATGTAACACGCCCAATCAAATGCAATATGTGTTTGACTTGGAAGACTAGCCTTTCAACGGCTAGTTTTGAAGAATTTATTTTTTTATTATAAATTTTTACCTATATACATACCACTACATATAATCTTATTTTTCATACCATTTTTCTCTTCTTTTATTTACATACATATATTTGTATTGTTTTAAAATTCAAAAACCATGGCTCCCAGGCAAAGCGAAAGGATGAATCGGACAAAAGAGGAGGAAGAGAAGTTAGCACAAGCATAGACTTCAATTTCCGAAGAAGGAGATAGTCAAACCTTTAATTGTTTTGGGGAAAAAGTTTGAAGCATTTTCTATGGTTTAATGGGTAGTGAAAATCGAAATCCCGACGAAATTTGTTCGAAATGTCGCGATTTGAGGGTAAAATGTTGCGAATTCGGTGGAATTCACAACATTATAAACAATCTACACGAAAGCAGGTCAAACAATTTCGATGTACTCAAGGAGGCCATGGATCAATATGAAAGAACAACGACAACCCACAAACCTTTTCCACATCTCGAAGTTTGGCTAAAGTGGAAGGATCCTCCAAAATGGCAACACTAATTAAAAAAATAAAATAAAATATAAAATAAAATGAAATAAAATAAAAATCTAGGAATAAGGGTCGTTTTTATGTTTGGAATTTTTATGTTTTTTTGCATTTTTTTTAAAATTAATGTAATGTCTTGTTTTAATGAATGTTAAAGTAGTTTAAAAAAAATCTTTGTTTTTATTGTATTTTTTATTTAATTTTAAATAAAAAAGAATGATGTAGAGTGGTGTTTTAGTGGTAGGTATACCATGTGTTTAGTGGATGGATGTGGTGATGAGGTGACACCCACTACATTAGTGGTTAGTGATGGGTACTCCGGATGGCCTTATCGGAACACGGTTGTCATTTTCAAAAGTGAATTTTAAATTTTTTTATCAAATAAATTTCAGGAAAGGCTTTATATTTTGATCCTCTAATCAATTAAGTTCTGATATTTTTTTTCTTGCAATTAAGCCCAAAATAATGTCAATCGTTTACAATTAAGTCCCAAAAACCAGCAACATAGGTTATTTACCCTAATAAACCGATAATTTTTGGTTTTTTACCCCGATAAACCGATCATCAACCGAATATGACTGCTTTTTCACAAATATGATCAAAGGTTAGGGGTTTGGACTAACTACTATTTAATATTTTGTATTGGATTAACTTAGTGCATATTTTGTATTGTACTAACTTAAATTTTGATTACATTTGTGAAAAAACACTAGTATTCGATTCATGGCCAGTTATCAGGGTAAAAACCAAAACTACCGGCTGATCGAGATAAAAAAACCCAAACTTATAAATTGTTGCCAGTTTTTGGGACTTAATTGCAAACAGTTGCCATTTTTTGGGACTTCATTATAAACAATTGTCATTTTCTGGCTTAATTGCAATAAAAAATAATAATAAGGACTTAATCGATTATGATCCTAAAATGTAAAGATTTTCTTGAAGTTTTCTTTCTCTTTATTGGTTAATCTTTTCAAATAATTTTTTTTAAATGGGGAAATTTCATATATACATTAAATAAACAGCAAAATATCATATTTGTCTTACCTAATTTCTAAATATTATATATATATCCTAAATAAACTTCCAAAATATCGTATTTGCCCCAAAAGTCTTTTTTTTAAACATTTTTTAATCATTTTAAGTCCTTATTTTTATCAAATTACTATTATACCCCCTTATGAAGCTGACTTTTATATATCATCTATAACAAGTATAAACTCTCAAAGTATCATATTTAACCAGATATCATTTTATAATCATATTTACCCAAATAGACTCATTCATAAATGTTTTCGCAACCAAAAAAAATGTTTTAAAAAAATACTATTGTATCTTAATTCATAAACCAAATTCATATCATGTAATATTTCTATATTTATTGATTAATGTATGTTAATTATTTTTTATTGTATCTTAATTAATTTTTAATTTAATAAGTAGTTTGTAAGTTGGATTCTAATAGGTTTACATTATCTTTTGCCTGCCTTTTCTATAAAAGGCTTAAAAGAACATAAACTAATAATATAAGTGCATATATATATATATATATATATATATATATATATATATATATATATATATATATATATATAAAAACTCAAATTTTACCACAATGAGTAACTTGAGTATTTTCATTACAAATAGAAACTCAAAATAAGATGGCATAAAAAAGAAACAAAAAACATCAAAGAAAGTTAAAATAAAAGAGAAAAGGGCAAAATTTTGTCTCAATAGGTATCTTTGTCGTTTCTCTTCTTCAAAGGGTATCATGCTCAATTGTTCTTGCATGCACTATTGGCTATAGAATGGAGTATTTCCTCTGTGTCAGATTACAAAAATACCCATCAGAAATACGAATCAAATCTCACATATTCACATCAAAAACTTATTTCCACAATTCAAGATTCACATCAAAAAATCATCTTCACCATCTTAAATATATCAATATCTTCACCAACTCTATCATTAACCAACCCTTTCTGCCATTTCCGATTATCTTTTTTCTTGGCACCATCATTAGCAGGAAGAAGAGCATTTAAATCTTATTGAAAATTATCTTCACAAAAAATTTCCTTTTCATCCACCACTAAGTATACAGCCCATCACCACTAGTAAGGGAAAAGATAATGTTGAAGGAGTGTTGACCTATAATCCATATAAACAATATGACATGGTTGTTGATGATCCTTTAGAGCATTCAATAATCAATGGTGCCTAATCCCCTTGAATATGGACTATGACCTATGCAACGACAAATAATAGGACGAGGAGTATTAGAGTGACTTTATGAACAATCTTTGATTGGAGACGGATGGATGTGGGTTTATAACATACAATGCATATTTACGTATCATTACAAAAAGTCGCTTGTTATACATATCTCTATATATATTAAAGCAGAAACCTAATTACATCATCTAAAACAATCTGGCCCCTTCAATGTTTTTCATTGATTATTTTAAACCACTGGATCAATTTCCCTGATGTCATCGTAACAAAAGGGAACTACAAATACGCCTTTGTTACCGTCTATAACCATTTTTCCTCCAAAATAGGGATTGCTCTCTTCTTCTTTCTCTCTCTGATGAAGATAATATCAAGAGACGGTGATCTCTCCAATTTTTATCCATGTCGTTCCTCCTCAAGAGCCGATGATCTCTCCAATTTCTATCCATGTTCTTCTCCATCAATGCATCTCCTGCATCGTGTTTGTCACCAACAACTTGAAATTGAGATTCACTACCAAAGATTATTCCCATTGCGCTTTTCTTCTTCTCAAGGTATTTGAATTTTTATGAATCTGCAACTGGGTTTCCATTTTGATTATTCTAACAGGAATTTTGATTTGAATCACTCTTATTTGGGTTTTAGGTTTATATTATGCGTATCCGATTTATGTTTATATCTATGGTTTTTTAGTAATCAAATCGAAATGGTATTGATTTGTTCTGGATTTGAATGCGATTAACGAAATCAAACAGGCTGTTGGATGTGAAGCAATGTGTAAACAAAGATGGAAAGACAGTCCTCTTGGGTGAAAATTCTTAAAAAGGTACCATTTCGATTGACAAAATGGTTAAAATTCTTTAAAAAAGTTAATTTGAAGATTGCTAAATAACTTGTATCATTTCAGATATTGACCCTTTGGTATAGAGCTCCAGAAGTCCTTTTGGGTGCTACTCATTATTCAACAGCTGTTGACATGTGGTTTGTTGGCTACATATTTGGTACTCATTCTTTCTGAATTAATTAAGTTTGTTATGTATTAAGTCAAAAAAACACTAATGTGTTCTTCAAATTTGAAGACAGCAGTAGCCAGAACACAGTCGATGACATTGTTACCACCTACACATACTATGATTATACTTCTGGATTCATCCATCATTGCAATCTTACTGATGTGGAGGTACTAATTTTGATTTCTACTACCAAACTTTCTTATAATTCGTCAACATTTAGGATCTTTACCCTAGTTAAAAGAAAATTTTGTTTGGAATCATATTGATTAGTTTTGTTTTGCAGCATGATACAATTATATTTCAACTATTTTTTAAAAGTATATACACATTATATCATCCTACTTTGCAAATCTGCAATAGGATCCCAATATTTGACTTTACCGGTTAGACTTTGGCCAAAAAGTTACTTCTTCATCTCTTAATCTTTGGCTTAAGCCACTGAGTTTGTTATTCCGCAAACAAGATTTTATAACAATAATTTTTTTAATTGTTCATAACAAACTATGTTGACCAAGTCTATTATTGTCAATTTATTTTAAATTTAAATAACAAAGTATGTTGACCAAGTCTATTATTGTCAATTTGTTTCAAGTTTAAAGGTAATCTCCTTAATCTTTAGCTTAAGCCACTGAGTTTGTTATTCCACAAACAAGATTTTATAACAATAATTTTTTTTATTGTCCGTAACAAACTATGTTGACCAAGTCTATTATTGTCAATTTGTTTTAAACTTAAATAACAAACTATGTTGACATGTGGTCTGTTGGCAGCATATTCGGTACTCATTCTTTATGAATTAATTAAGTCTGTTATGTATTAAGTCAAAAAAACACTAATGTGTTCTTTAAATTTGAAGACAACAGTAATCAGAACACAGCCGATGACATTGTTACCACCTATACATATTATGATTATACTTCTGGATTCATCCATCATTGCAATCTTATTGATTTGGAGGTACTAATTTTGATTTCTACTACCAAACTTTCTTATAATTCGTCAACATTTAGGATCTTTACCCTAATTAAAAGAAAATTTTGTTTGGAATCATATTGATTAGTTCTGTTTTGCAGCATGATACAATTATATTTCAACTATTTTTTAAAAGTATATACACATTATATCATCCTACTTTGCAAATCTGCAATAGGATCCCAATATTTGACTTTACCGGTTAGACTTTGGCCAAAAAGTTACTTCTTCATCTCTTAATCTTTGGCTTAAGCAACTGAGTTTGTTATTCCACAAACAAGATTTTATAACAATAATTTTTTTAATTGTTCATAACAAACTATGTTGACCAAGTCTATTATTGTCAATTTATTTTAAATTTAAATAACAAAGTATGTTGACAAAGTCTATTATTGTCAATTTGTTTCAAGTTTAAAGGTAATCTCCTTAATCTTTAGCTTAAGCCACTGAGTTTGTTATTCCACAAACAAGATTTTATAACAATAATTTTTTTATTGTCCGTAACAAACTATGTTGACCAAGTCTATTATTGTCAATTTGTTTTAAACTTAAATAACAAACTATGTTGACATGTGGTCTGTTGGCAGCATATTCGGTACTCATTCTTTCTGAATTAATTAAGTCTGTTATGTATTAAGTCAAAAAAACACTAATGTGTTCTTTAAATTTGAAGACAGCAGTAATCAGAACACAGCCGATGACATTGTTACCACCTATACATATTATGATAATACTTCTGGATTCATCCATCATTGCAATCTTACTGATTTGGAGGTACTAATTTTGATTTCTACTACCAAACTTTCTTATAATTCGTCAACATTTAGGATCTTTACCCTAATTAAAAGAAAATTTTGTTTGGAATCATATTGATTAGTTCTGTTTTGCAGCATGATACAATTATATTTCAACTATTTTTTAAAAGTATATAAACATTATATCATCCTACTTTACAAATCTGCAATAGGATTCTAATATTTGACTTTACCGGTTAGACTTTGGCCAAAATGTTACTTCTTCATCCCTTAATCTTTGGCTTAAGCCACTGAGTTTGTTATTCCACAAACAAGATTTTATAACAATAATTTTTTTAATTGTTCGTAACAAACTATGTTGACCAAGTCTATTATTGTCAATTTGTTTTAAGTTTAAATTACAAACTATGTTGACCAAGTCTATTATTGTCAATTTGTTTTAAGTTTAAAGGTAATCTCCTTGATCTTTGGCTTAAGTCATTGAGTTTGTTATTCCACAAACAAGATTTTATAACAATAATTTTTTTTATTGTTCGTAACAATCTATGTTGACCAAGTCTATTATTGTCAATTTGTTTTAAACTTAAATAACAAACTATGTTGACCAAGTCTATTATTGTCAATTTGTTTTAAGTTTAAAGGTAATTTCCTTATGCATAAGGGTATAATTGTCAACACGAGCACATACTCTACAAATTTTAATTTCTTTCATGAATCTTATATTCTTATTTATGCAGATTATCATTCCAATTATACTGTCAATAATAAACACTTTCCAAAATAATTATATGTATATTTATCATGTTTCATTACATAGAATCCAGACATTTATGATTAAATCGTTTAATAAGAAAATATTATCTTTAAATCTTTTCAAATTCATGTACGCTTATCAATTTCAAATCCGGTCATTTGATTATATCTTATTAATTATTGATGTAAATCATATATTTTTTATAATTATTTTAACTTAATATAATATCAGGACTCGTGTTTTCCAATTATACCCTTTTCCATATTTTGTTATGATATATAGATATAGATATCTTATAAAATCACTGTTTACCATTCTATATATCCTTATTAACCCTATATAATATTATGTATCATACAAATCACGAAAAAAAATTGTTTCTTCAACCTCTCAATCACGAAAAAAATTGTTTCTTCAACCTCTCTTTACACTCGCTGCTGCCTACTTCCATCATCCATCATCCATAACAGGTTTCATTATCCTCTGCAATGTTTGTTTTTGTTGTTATATTATGAATCATGTATGGAATGGTGTTTTGAATATGTTTATCATGTATGCAAACTGCTTTATTTTTTCCTTTCTTTCGTGTTAAAATATTTAATAATTCTAACTCTTCTTAATTCACATTATGTCATCGAACTTCCTTTGCCGAATGCTATTTGATTTCCGTCTTTATTGAATTGAAAACTATTTTTTTGGTGAAGGTGCGGTTTACACTTTTTCCTTCATTAAAACAACAATCATGACAACAACAATCGCTGTCAAGGTGCATAAAACCAATATGCTGGAATATATCGATGTAGTAGGCAACAATATTTACAAATAATATGGACCATTTATGTTTTAATCTCCTAAATGAACATGTATTCAATATATTCTGCCACATGGATCATAATATAATTTCACTTTCAATGTTGTCCCATATTATCATTAATAACAATTATATTTCGTTATATCATCCTACTTTGCAAATCTGCAATAGGATCCCAATATTTGACTTTACCGCTTAGGCTTTGGCCTAAAAGTTAATTCTTCATGCTTTAATCTTTGGCTTAAGCCAATGAGTTTGTTATTCCACAAACAAGATTTTATAACAATAATTTTTTATTATTGTTTGTAACAAACTATGTTGACCAGGTCTATTATTGTCAATTTGTTTTAAGTTTAAATAAAAAACTATGTTGACCAAGTCTATTATTTTCAACTTGTTTTAAGTTTAAAGGTAATCTCCTTAATCTTTAGCTTAAGTAACTGAGTTTGTTATTCCACAAACAAGATTTTATAACAATATTTTTTTTATTGTTCCTAACAAACTATGTTGACCAAGTCTATTATTGTAACATCCGGATTCCCAGGTATTCTATGATGTTCATTTATTTTGAGTTTTGAGGAGGGACTCGACGAGTCGACGCCTGGACTCGTCAAGTAGGATCGCGATTTGCTGACTGGATTAATGAAGGGACTCAACGAGTCGATAGGTGGACTCGACGAGTCCGCGCTGTGGACAGAAACCCTAAATCTGCGGGCCTGAGCCCTATTTAAAGGACCTTATAGCCCTCATTTGCAGCTACCAGTCCAAAGAGAGAAACCATAGAGAGCTTGAACGAGTTGTGTGAGAGAGGAAGCCATTTTAACCCCTTTTGGTGTTGTTTTGCAAAGAAGAAGGTGTTTCCAGCAATAGGAGGTCAAGGGGATTGCTATTTTGTGGATTTCCAGCTTGGATCTGCAACTTTGAGGTAGTAAATCGACCCCTTTCTCTGTTTGGTTTAAGATCCTTGAATGTTAGGGTTTTCTATACCCTTTATTGGCTTGAAATGTTGAGTATGATGTCCCTTTGAGTGTTAGACTCTGGATCTGGACCTCTAGAGGTCCAGAGGACCTTATCCATCCTGCTTTATGTTGGTTCATGGAGGGAATGAGACTATGTTGCCATTTTAGTAGTTATTTCACCAAAATAAGCCTTGGGTACGTTGCATGTGAACCAAGATTTGACCTTTACGTGATTATCGGGGTTGGGAAGGTCAGATCTATAGGTTAGA